TTTCTTAAGGGGCCCATTTTGCACCCCCTTCTCCTACAATAAATTTTTATATGTAATCAAGATTTTTAGATACTTTAGGGAAGCAGCGCCACCTATTTCAGCTGAGAAAAAAATTTTCTCTCCTTGAGAAAATTATTCTCTTAAATATTTGATACCCACTTTATATGATCTTTGCGTGCAATTATACATATTGAATGAAAAAAAATGATTCAATATTCTTTGATCCTCTCATTTGACATGTTGATCAATAAAAATATTAATGAAAATTTACTTCTATCGAGATATTTAATTTTTTGGAGCAAGAGAGAAATTTTCTCAAGACAAGAAAATTGACTTCTACCAAGAACTAAATTTTTTTGAGCATGAGGCTGAATTTTCTCAAAACAACAAGATTTTCTTGACTTAAGGAAGTACGAGCACCAAGGCAACTTTTAATAAAAGGCTTGATTTTTTTTTAATATGAAGTTTAAATATGTCTAAATAAATTCCGAAAATTTGAAGGAGATTGCCCGATCATTTAAATAAATAATTAACTTTAAAATTGAGCAATTTAACATTGGTCTTATGGGGTAACCTTCAAACATTGATACATTTCTGTATTTTTCTCGTAAAACTGTCGATGAATATTTTTAAAAAACTTATGGAAAAACGTAAATATATTAGTGATAAATTTAATTAAAAAAAATTGACACTTGCCCGACTAATTAAAGTGTATTAATTAAAAGAAAAATAAAGGCCGCCATTAGCCAATGTTAAATGTATATCTATATATTAAGAAAAACCATAAATTTTTTTGGATCAAGATACATACTTCTTAAAGCAAGAGAATTAATTTTGTTGGAATAAGTGTAATTTCTTGTGTCAAAAAAAAATTTTTTTTTCACTTAAGAAAATTATTAGAAAGAAAAATATTTTCTTGGCTCAAGTGAACCTTTTTTTCTGTGTACAATGAACTTCAAGCGCAAAAAATAACCATTACTTATTACTAATTCAGTTTGAAAATCTACTCAAAATCTTTAGCCGATAAGATAAATTCCGATATTATTCTTCACATTTTTTATCACTTTCGTCTGGTTACACACGAAAAGTAAAAAAAAAAAGGGAAGTTAAGGTAGTTAGGGACTTGAAGACATATTTCGAGAAAATCATGAAATTTTTTTTTATCGAACGATAAATATATTAATAATTCATCACCAAAATTTCAGAGCAATAAAAGATGCAATTTAGAAAATTTATTATAATACTCAAGTATACTCAAGTATACTCAAAAAAGATGTGGTGAATTATGAATATATTTATCTTTCGATAAAAAAAATTTCGTAATTTTTTTGAAATATGTCTTACAGGCCCCAAATACTTTAAGCTTCGCGGCATTGATTAAAAAAAAACGGTACAATTGAGTTTTTAAAAATCAGTTTTTTTGCGGACACTACCCAGCGATCAAAAGTTGAACTTTCAGAGCAAGTATGAAATAGTTATTTATGTACCTTGGGCGAGTCACGCGCCAATACGGTCGAGGTGATAAGTATTTTCAGCAGGGATAGTATAAAGCCGAGGCCCGATAGGGCCGAGGCTTTATATCCCTGCTGCAAATAATTATCGCCGAGACCGTATTTGCGCGTGGCTTGCCCATGGTGCTTAAAAAATTTTTCGTCCTATGGCGGACGTATGCGGGTTTTTGCGTGCAGGGGAAACTCAATTTGTAAATAAATAGCGTACGACGCCATAACCCTCTAAATAAAAATACATGTAAGTCTTGAAGTTAGTCATAGGTAGAAACTCGAAAAAACCGGGCCACGATTCATTAGTGGTTAAAATTAATTAATTCAAATTTCTAGTATATATTAAAATGTAATTTTATTGTAATTAATAGTTTAAACGCAGTTATTTTAAAATATTATTTAATAAATCGCAATTTTATAATATTAAAGTAACAGTTCCCCGAGTTAAAAAAATTGACATCAATGAACTTAACTACTATACTAAAACAATTGATTTACGAATATTGAGATCATATTGTCTTTTCAGCATATCATGCGCCCGGTGCGCTTTTTGAAATTACAGTTAAAACGTAAGCTAGTCGGCTGTATAGAGATTGGTGAGGCATGCGTAGCATTGTCCTGGGCTGTATAAAGTTCTATACAGTCTAGTAGATACTGGCGCGTATCTACTAGACTGTATTGAGTATCGTCTGCACGTAAAAACCCCAATACGTCCGCCTAGGACGAAAAATAGTATATTACACACCGAGGGAAGTAAAGTAAGAAATGTCTCAGATCACATGTAATTGTTGGCCCAGGCGAAGCCGAGGTCAACAAACATGTGATCTGAGACATTTCTTACTTTACTTTCCTAGGTGTGTAATATACTACTTTAAAAAGTATAACAAAAGAAAGTACTTGAAAAAACCCAAATTGTCGGATGTTTGCCAAAAAACGAATTTAACTGTCTGTTGAAGGATTCGACGGAATTGTTGGTCTTCCTTACGGCATTAAACAGTGACCATTCAGTTGGCGGTCGACGAACCAGCCATTGTTCCATGAAATAATCGATAAATTTCTCAAGGCGAAGAAATACATTGTCATCTTCTGAATTTAATACATTAAGTATAATTTTCTCGAAAGCCTGAGGTATAAATTCAGCCGGTAAGTATAGCAAAGCCATTAGCTTTCTCAAAACATCTTCAACAGCAGCGTCAGTGTCCGTTCGAGCGTTTGTATTTTTTTTACTGAGTCTTTTGATTGCTCCTCTTTTAACCGCATTCTTCGTAAGGGCCTGTAATTAAATAGAATTAATAGGGGAGAAGGTGGTCAATTGAACCAAAAAAGTTTAGTAATTTTTTACTGTTCGAATTAAGGTAGTACTACCGTTACCACAAGTGTCAAATCCCAAAACCTAACCTTATTTGATTAACGTAGTAGATTTCCCTTTACTAAATTACGCTGAAGAAAGAGAGACAGAGATAAATTTTGAATGTTTTTTATTAATAAATAATCTCATATTCTTGGAAACCATACTGATTGTTACTGAATATGTTCTAGATGTTATTTCCTCTCGTTGTCTTGATTTTTATAAGAATCTGAATGTCCAGTTTTGTGAAATAAAATAAAGTCTGTGATTCTCCATAAGGATCAATGGTAAAAGCAAAAATATGTAGATATTAATATCTTTTTTTCAGGACTTGCTCGGCTTCCAAAAATTTTACTGCTTAATTATGATATTATAAAGTACCAATATGCCAAATTTCATTAAATTCTGAACGTCAATTCTAAAACCGGTAGTACTACCTTAAAACTAAATAATAATTTTTTATTTTCCCGCTAAGAAAATTGAAAATTTTCAAAAATCGGGAAGTTATTGGTTCTACTTCGTTGTTCGAAAATCGAGTTTTCAACGGAAGTTGACGTTTTGAGGTCCTAGGAAGCCTGCCCGAATGTTTCCGCGGTGATATCCGTATGTCTGTATGTATGTATGCATCTATGTATGCGTGTGTGTGTGTGTGTGTGTTTTTTTTTTTTTTTTTTTTTTTTTTTTTTTTTTAAAGAGGAGGTAAAATACATTTACGTACTCGCATGGAAAAATATATATGCAAATATATATTTTCACATATATTTTTTTGTGCTAAATATATGTCCGCATACATGATCACATATATGCGTAGATATATGTTCACATATATGCGTGCATATAAATGTCTAGAGATACACAGAAAAAAATTTAACATGAATCAAGAAAATTATTTTGAAAAATTTAACTTTCTTGATTTGAGTAAAAAAATTCTCAAACTTAGAAATATTTTTTCAGTGTATGCTTACATACATGTCTACCTATATGTAAGCATGTATCTCTGCATATATGTCAGCATCTATGTGAAAAATATATGTTGAAATATTTTTTTTTTGAGTAAATATATGCGGCATATACTTTATATATGGGATATATATTTTTGACATATATATTTCTCCATGCGGGTATGCCAGGACTTAATGTTGGTGCCAGGACTAGGTGTTGGTGCCAGGACTAGGTGTTGGTGCCTGGGTATGTCGGACTCAGAAGTCACCATTATTTTGCAACAATTACCGACTAAACATCCTCCTCTCTCCTTTCCCCATAGATGTTACAGGGAAGACTGGATCGAGACCGCATTAGCATTACTTCGATCCAGTCCATGTTGTGTCTCACGACACCTACTTCTTATTACTACTGGTTTTTAATGCCTTTCTGCGATTTTTTCTTTTAAAAGGCGCTGCGCGTAGGCTGCGACAGCTGACCAGTTTTTTCTTTTTTGATCATGCAGGTTACCAAGCTCTCAGGGAAGAGCGTTGTGCCTATTGTTTATTCGGTGCTGATTTTGTCGTCCTTCCACCGATCACACTCGAAAAACGTGTGCTCGGCGCTGTCAATTTTGTCTGGGTAGTACACGGAGAGAAAATCCTATGAAAAATTACGATGGTAACATCGTAATTTTTAGTATAAAACATTGTAGTGCCGGACCAGAACTCAAACATTATAATTTATACGATGCAACATCGTTAATTTCTATCACTCAAATGAAAAAGAAGTTTAGTTCACCGAAAAAATAATCCTGTGTCACTGAGGAATCGAACCCGGTATCCTCTCCGCCACAGGCCCAAGGTTTATTTTTTTTTTTTTTTTAATAAAGTTTATTTGCATTAAATGGATACAAAAGTCTTACAGTTATATATTTGGATGCAAAATTAACTTAAAAACAAGCCATTAATTATCTTAATATTTTTATAATTGATTGTCCCTGTAAGCGGGCATCTTGCAATTATTTTAGTTTCAATAACAGAAAGTTAAGTAAATTTAAATTAGGCTTATAGTCACTGTTAACATATGTAGTAAAATATAATAATTAATAAAATTCACTAAATTAAAGCTGTGATGTAAAATTATATAAAACTTCATCTATGCTATTATTCTCTTTTTAAATTATTCCTTACTTACTAAAATTAATACAGTATGTACAAATGGCCATATTAGTAAATGGCTGTCCAGCCAGTTTTTAATCTTTTTCTAAGATGCTTTCTGTGTGGTGTTTCCTCAGCTAACCACCAGTATTTGTCGTTCAATCTTGTGAAGTCTAATTGGTCTCTTAATGGTATGTCAGTAGAATAATTAAAGTTATGTCTTTCATTTGTAAAACAATCGGCCGTATAGTTAATTCTTTTGTCATTGCTACGTCTTGTGTAATGATATACAATTGGTATGTTATTGTGGTTTTGAATTAAGTCTAGTCTGTCATAGTGTATAAACATGTGAGGGAAAATATAACCTGAAGAATTATATTTTTCTCCTTTGATTGGATCCATGTCGTTAATTAGTTTTAAGTCACTATTTTCAATGTCTCGTAGATTGCAAAAGTAATCTCTATTTAGCTTAATAATAAAATTATCTATCCTAGGGATGTTCGCTAGGTCATATAGCTGTTTGTTGCTGATGAACTTTTTGAAGTTGGACTCTCTCGATCTGTATTGGCTGCAGCAAGCTCTTAGGCATTTGCGTTCAAAAGCCCTCATCTTTTCCATAGTTGCGGCGTTGATATTCCACCAAACAGGCGATCCATATGTTAAAATTGGTCTAATTAGTAGTTGGTAGCAAATAATCTTGGCTTTCGGGTATAGGTGTTTGGAGTAAAAAATCCTGCTGTTTGCTTGAAAGTCTTTTTTTGCTTTGTCAAGTTGTTTGATGATATGTGAATTTAATTTCATCAGGTGGTCAAAATGGAAACCAAGATACTTGACTTCATTTTTATGTGGGACGTTAATGAGCTCTTTTGTGTCAGGGTGTTTTGTAGTTGAAAATCCGCAATCTGTTTTCTCTTAGTGGAGTCCATTTTAAAAACGGTTCTTCTGAACAAAATCGATTCGCATTTATCCGGGTTTACCCGGAGATTCCATTGTTGATATACTTTGTTGATATTGTTCAGTAGTTCACTCAATTCATCTCTTAGCCTCACTGGGTTGGTACCGATTAAGTATGCAATAAAGTCATCAGCAAATGCTTTGCCAAATCTGTCGACTGTAGTATTAAGTCCAAACATTTTCAAAATTCGCCCGGTGTTTATGTTGAAAAATATTGGTGAGTTGACCGTGCCCTGCTGAAGACCCTCTTCTATTGAGAATAGAAGTGTTGATAGATTGCTACCATCCCAGGTCCTAAATGATTTGCCATGAAGCATGTTATAGAATAGAAAAATTAGCCATTCACTAAAATTGGACTTCATGAGCGTGTAAATGAGACCATTCAGCCACACCGAATCAAATGCCTTTTCAAGATCTATGAGTACTGCTGCTATCAATTCATTGTGATGGATGCCTTGCAGGATATCAGTAACTACATGTGCAGCATGCACTGTGGAATGTCTTTTTTTGAATCCATATTGCTGATCTGGAATGATTTTATTATTTTCACAGACTTTGGTGATGACTTTATTTATGTGGATTTCAAAGACTTTTCCCAGGTTGCTGGTGAGGCTGATAGGTCTGTAGCTGACTGGTTTAGTTGGATCTTTGTTTTTTTTCAACAATGGTATAACTTTTGCTTCTTTCCAGGCCTTTGGGAAGTAGGCGTTATTTAGTGCGTTGTTGAATAAAATAGTAATTGTATGTATTAGGTTATCAGGAAGATGCTTAAGTACGATTGATGGTAACTCATCTGGACCACTCGATGATTTGTTTGGAAGTTTTTGGAGAATCTTCTTTAGCGTGAAAGTGTTACAGAAACTTAGTTGACAATCTTCTTCATTTTTCGAGAAGGATGCTTTATTATTTTGGTCAAATATTGTTAACGATGTGCCAGTCTTCTCAGCATTTTCTAGTTTCTTTTTCATGTTATTGACCGTATGATCTATTATATTTTTTAATGGTGTACCGATGTTTAGGTATCTTGGAGAGTTGATTTTTTGGTAGTGTTTACCAATTACATTTAGCTTGTCTATTGGATTGGTTATTGTTGTTGTGTTAGTAATTGGGTCTGAGAAAGCATTGTTCACTTGCACTGTTTCATTAGTGATTAGGTCTGAGTCTGAGTTTATTATTTGATTGGCTATTTCAATGTTCTGTTTGGGTCTCAACATTCTATTAATTTTTGGGAAAAAGGCATTTGGGTCTCGGTGGTTGACTTGTCTAAGTTGGTTGCTCCAGTAGCAGGTAATTGATTTGCTAAATTCTTTTCTAAGTTCTTCTTTTATTAGTTTGATCATTTGTTTAATATTCTGGATTTCCTGTTGGTGGAGATGGGAATGATGTTGTCGTTAAAGTCTATCGAGTTTGGTGATAAGTGATGATTTATTGTTTTGAAGTTTTTTAATTCTTGAATTGAGATATTTAAAAATACCGTCTTGTTTTTTAAATTGTGGAACTGTTGAAACTATTGCTTCTCTAATTGATTTTGTTGTGGTTTCTACTAAATAGTCAATTTCTGTGCTTGATAAGTTTCTGTCGTCTGGCGGTGACGGATTACAATTCTTAGCTAAAAATTTAGAAAATCGAGACCAATTAGTTGCTTTGAAATTAAATTTTTTGATTACTTGCTTGAGCTGGATGGTTGATCTGAGCTGGACCGTAAATAGAAGTGCCCTGTGGTCACTATCATAGTCAACTGTCTGAATTTTGTTGTTTGTAAGGTCACAAATGGTGAGGTTTGTGATACAGCAGTCTAGATATGAGTTGTTTGGCGTGTAGGATGGACCATTAGTAGCAAAAATTTTTGTTTGATATCTTAGAGCTAATTCTTTTTCCCATCTTATGAGGTATTTTCCTCTCTCATTGGTTGATGAGTCTCCCCAATCTATTCTTCTTGAGTTGAGATCTCCTGCTATAATAAATGAATTATTAGGATTACTTAAATTGAGTTTAATGAATAGATTGTTTAATTCATCTATAAAAACTTTTTTGTTGTCAGGTGTTGCATAGATGCTGACAATAAAGGTTTTTCCATTTTGATCTTCTGAAGAAAGCAGCTTTATTATTGTAAATTCTATCGTGCTGTTGTTGACTGAAGAAGGATGAGAGATTACTTCGTGTTTGATGTTGTTTCTTATTGCAATGGCTGTTCCACCACCTTGTTTGCTATTTGGTCTGTCGGTTCTGATTATTGTATATTTTTGTAGAGTTAATTTGTGTGATTTATTTAGTTTGGTTTCCGATATGAGGATTACATCTGGGTTGTGTAACTGTATTCTGGATGTTAGTTCATATCTCCTCTTGTTAGTTTGAATTGAATTAACGTTGATTGCTATGATTTTAATTTTTTTTGAACTTAGAGAGTCTACGTCCAATTTATGTCTTTGATTTATAGTCTGATTGTATTTAGTATCCTCCATTTTGGATTCCAAGGTACTCATAAATGAATTCAAGTCTTTGAGAATTGAAATCGATGTTGTTTATTCTCTCGTTAATGTGCCTAATTTCATCTGTAAGGCCTGTTACACAGTTTCTTAATTCAATTGCCCATGGTGGAGGGGCTGGGAAATTTTGATGGTCACTTGGTAGATGTTGAGGTTGTCGAAGTGGAGGAGGCCCAAGGTTTATCCCCTTACGCCATCAGAGGGAATATCTATACTCTCTGTTCAGTCACATAATAAGACTCTCCATATAGTAGTTGGTCATCTTTCGGTGGTGGCGTCGCAAACTACTGGACTCTGTCTCTTTTTTATTAAAACATATAGTATGCGTCCTTATTCACTTGCTCTTACGGAAAAAAAATTTACTAAATAACATCGTAATTTTCAATAATTCAAATTGTATTCTGTAGACGGCAGCATCGTAAAAATCAACATACTGAAAATCTAGTCCTGGATTACTATGTTACCATCGTAATTTTTCATAGGATTTTTTTTCCGTGTATTTACACGTTGGTGTGCTGTGCAAACCCATCTTGAAAAGATAGGCATTGAACTGCCCATGTCCCGTCAATAGCTGGGTCAGGAAGAAGTCCGTATCCCCGTGCTTTCGAGAAAGCCAGACGTTGATGTTTGGGATCAGATGCCCTGTCCATCTGCCCGTCTCTCCCAAAGTCCATCAGTACTGCCACTCTTGCTGTGTTTCCGTTTTTATCCTCGTTCTTGTCTGCTTCATGTTTTCGTCACTGATTTTAGCGTCATAGAGTCTTGCTCTCTCGAACGCTAGTAGGTTGGTGGGCGCAGCTCCCGCAGTGACCAATACAGCCGTTTTGGAAACCGTGCGGTAGGCGCAGGCAACTCTGAGTGCGCCTCGCTGCTACACTGCTACCATTTACTTCCGGTAGGTCTTTTGCTTTAATATGTGTCTGCCCATGTTTCTGCTCCATAAAGCAGTACCGAATGGACTGCTTCCAGAAGGAGTCTCCTCTTTTTAGTTCTTGGTCCCATAATATTCGTCATAATTCTTGCTAGGGTAGACACCGTCTTGCTGGCTTTCTGGCATGCATTATCGAGATATTCGCGGGAAGATAGTTTCTCGTCTATCATTACCCCCAGATAGCGCAGGGCCCTTGTTGACGTTAGTGTTGTTCCTCCCATGTCCACAGCGAATGGTTTTGGAAACCATTTTTGACGAGTCAGAACGACCATCTCGGTTTTGTGCTTGGCGAGTTTCAGGTGGTGTTTATCGAGCCAAGTCTCGACGGCATCAATAGTTTCTCGAACTAGCAGTTCGGCCTCTTCTACGCTATCCACCACTATAGTGGCCGCAACGTCGTCTGCAAAGCCCGTTAGCTCTATTTGCTTTGGTAACGGAATCTTAAGAAGCTCGTCATAGCCCGCGTTAAATGAGTTTTTGACATGTAGCGCGCGCGCGCGCGCGTGTGTGTGTGTGTGTGTGTGTGTGTGTGTGTGTGTGTGTGTGTGTGTAAACCTCTTATAACTTTTGAACGGCTCGACCGATTTCATCGCGGTTGGTGCCATTCGAAAGGGCTTGACCAAATTTACAATTAGATTTTGAATATAATTTGGACCGATTCGAACTGGTAGAATTTGAGAAATCAAAAAAAAATACAAAAACAATGATTTTTTCAGAATTTCTATTAAATTTTCACCGTCATTACATATAAAGGACATTTAAAAGTATGTATATTTAATGATTAAAAGATATAGTGAGAAAAATCATTTTTTACGGGTCCTCCTTAAATCCACGGAAACTGTGTTTCTATGAAAAAAATTTTTCATTTACCCTGATAAAAAAAAGTATTGAGACAAAGAAAAAAGTATTGAAAAGTATTGGTTTTCTAATCAATCCAATACTTTTCAATACTTTTTACAGATCTCTGAGAAGACCACTCTATTATCGATTTCACAGATCGAGAAAAAAAATTATTATATCAATTACTGTAAAGGTCGCTAGTAATATTCGCTGCTCCAATGAACTGGAATGTAAGAGCTACACAGATCTCAAACGATTCTAAAGTAAAAAATTTTTTTCCTAACAAATGCGAATTAAGCTACCACCAAAACAAAACATTTGCTTAGTATGACAGTTAAAAAGTTCTGCAGTAGATCACCTAAAAGTTGGACTTAATATTTGCTCAACAATCGTGAATATGTATGTATGTACAGTATAATTCATACACATTCTAAAAAATCACATCAAAGTTTCCAGATACATGCTGACACGAACGGTTTTGAATTGCTATGAAAAGTAATCAAAAATTTCTCAGTTAAAATTCTCAATAGTCATAGCGGGAAGTTAAAAAAATATTATTTGAGCAATTATGACAAACACTATTGCACAAAGTTGAAAATCTGTTTGAAAAAAGTAAGAAAGAAAAACATGTCGTACTTGCATAAAATGGAACAAACAGGGTACAATTGTTGATGTGGGTATAATATCTATGAGGGCATTACGACTCGCCAGCTCAAAATCTAAATGTATGGTGGGATCCAGCTCCTTTATGCTTGGAAACGTCGTGCATAAAAAATCAAAAATTTTTTTGTATGCTGTCGTAGATTTTGATGTCATAAGAGCATACATAAACGGTATTGCCTGTAGTGAAAGAATACATTTATAGTTATTATGATAATCGTTTAGTTTTTCAGTCACCTTTTTTTGTAGTACAACACTGAAAAAAATAATCGGTAGAAGCTACCAATTTTTCGGTAGAGGCAACCGATTAAAATCGGTAGAGGTTACCGATTTTTTTTCGGTAGCAGCTACCGATTGGAAATCAGTAGCCTCTACAGAAAAATCGGTAACCTCTACCGAAAAATCGGTAACCTCTATAGATTTACATTTCCCGAAAAAATAGTTTTTGGGGCCTATAACTAAAGTATAAATTACATGTCAACATGATTTTCATGTGACAGCTAAATGATTTTCATGTGGTAGGAACATAATTTTCATGTGGCAGGCAATCCCTTTATTTATAAATTGATGTAACGTTTTCATTGTTGTCACTTTTTGTTGCTAATGCAACCACTTTGGCAACTATTACCATCATGGGAACCGTTAGATATTATTAATTAAAATTTGTAAAAATATTGATTTGAAATATTGGAAGGTCTCGCTGTGCGTAACATCAGGATGAGCTTATATTTTAAGAAATGTCAATAATTTGAAAATAACTTTGTATTTTGTCAACTGATGATATTTTTAACGATATAAGCTTTTCCCTTATTAATAAAGGATTTCATTAATAAGGATTTTATTAATAAAAGATTTTATTATTTTCTTTTTTTGGTATTGTGTAGGAAATTAAATTCTCTACAAAAAAGGTCCCTTTCTTTTTTTCGCTAAAATGCATAGGAAAAAAGTTACAGAGCTTTAAAAAAACGAAAATTATAAAAAGTCAAAAATAACTTTTTTTTTTTATTTTCGACAACAAATTATTTTATTTTGTAAAATTCTTTACTTAATTTATCTATATTCAGTCTGTCAATTATATCTAAATTTGATCTATGTATAGAAAAAAAAAATATATTTATTTATATTATATTTTATATTATATATGGGGCATTCCATGCCAAATCGACCACTTTTGAACCCAACCCTTTTCAATTTTTTTCTCTACCCTATTGAAAACAATAGAATTTTTTATTGTTTATAGAACTTTTAAATACGAAAAAATAATTCAATGTTTCTTTTTATTTTTTATCTAAATTGATTGGAAATTAATCAAATGTTATCGATGATTGTCACTTATAATTCTTTTTTCTCAGATTTTAAAGTTTTCAAAATCTGCTAAAAAATTTTCAGTGGTATAACAAAAAATAGTATTTTTCTTACCTACGGCAAAAAAATAAGAAATGTTTCAGATAACATGTAATTGTTGACCGAGGCGAAGTCGGGTGCTTTTTAAGATATTATCAAAATGATAATCACTCTACTCATATCTGTCGATAAAATATTTATTACTATTGACACCATGCACTCCACGCTTTTTTTAAAATAAAATACATTTTTTTTTATTTACACTCTTATTAATTTATATTTATTGAAATTTTTAACAATATTCTTAATTTAAATTTATTAAAATTTATTTTCTATTTTTTAGTTTGGATTTCTATAAAAAGCGTGTTTTAAGTTTTTTTAAACTATTATTTATTTAAGATATAAGCTCATCCCGATGTTACACTCATCAAGAGCTTTCATTTCAGTACCCACATGCATTTCTGATATATTTTTCATATATACATATACATAATATATATAAATATATGAAAAATTGATGTGGGTACTCAAATCAATAGTCTCGATGAGTGTAACATCGGGATGAGCTTATATCTTAAAATATGTCTATAGTTCACAAGATACGCGGTCATTGCTTAATTAATGACGTTTTTGAAGATATAAGCTAATCTTGATGTTACACTCATCAATAGCTTTCACTTGAGTACTTACATCAATTTTTCATATATTTATGTATATTTTATATATGTTTATAAAAAAAATATATCAAAAATGCATGAGGATACTCAAATGAAAAGTCTGGCCAAGTATAACACCAGAATGAGCTTATATCGTTAACAATATCATTAGTGGACAAAATACAACGTCATTTTTTAATTATTCACAATTTTTAAAATATTAACTCATCCTGATGTTACTCTCATTGAGACCTGTCGTTTGAGTACGCACACGACTTTTTCATACATTTTATATATGTGATATTTTTCATATTTGTAAAATATATATAATATATGAAAAATTCGTGTGGGTATTCAAATGGAAGATCTCGATGAGTGCAACATCAGGACGAGCTTACATCGTTAAAAATATCATCAGTGGACAAAAGACAACGTCATTTCCTAATTATTGACTTTTCTTAAGATATAAGCTCATCCTGATGTTACGCTCATCGTGACCTTTTATTTGAGTACGGTTCTGACAAAATGTTTATCATCGAAAATTTCATCAATACTTATACAAATTT